CATCGATCCTCCCACTTGTCAATCATCTCTTTCCTCTTGTCCGTCAGCTGCAGCAGCTTCTCTTTGATCTGAGCGACACAAACATGACAGTGAGAACGTCTCCACCTCCACCTGTGGTCACATGACCTGACACAGTCGCTCCTGCTGCCTCAGGTTTTACAGAAACACACCTGGCAACACAGCGCTGGCCAATCAGATACATACAGGTGTGTTCCAGGTAAACTCCTCCAGAGAGGTCTGATGACAGACGACAGCTGACCCTTTAGCTTTTAGTTTAACAGTTTCCTGCTGTTTTCCTGAACACTGATCCAAACACACTCTCCATTCTCTACAGCGGTTAGAGGCTAGCTAGCCTGATGCTAACGTTCTTAGCCCCGCCCACTTGTACAGCAAATGTAAATCGTGTGACCTCCTCCGATGCGTAGTGCTTCCGGGCCAGCAGGGCCTTCCCCAGCTCGATGCAGGCGGTGAAGCTGTCGTTGCGGGCGTCGATCTCGGCCTTGATGCCCTGGTGGTTGTTCATCAGCAGCTCCACCGATGACACGTCTCTGAAAAGGCGGGAACGCAGCTTCAGTGGTCACAGCTCTACTCAGACGTTAACATGCTGCAGACGGCGACGGACTCTGCGTACCTGGGTTTCTCCTGAGCCTCGATGAGCCGGATCACGTCGTCCATCCACAGCATCAGGTCTCGGACCATGCTGAAGAACCTGAACTTGTCCCCGGTGTCGAGGAGGCGGAGCCGGCGTCCGTCGCAGGCCTCCAACAGACTCCTCCACGCCTCCAACACCTCGCTCTCCCTCCGCTGGATGTCGTCGGCTTTATCGCCGGCGTACGCCGACTGGAGGCGCACAGCGTCTTCCTGCAGCTGCCTCACCTGCCACACAGGGTCAAAGGTCAAAGGTCACATGAGGTCTGCTGGGACCAGATGAATGCACAGTACATTTAATAAAAGATCTGAAAAACAGCAGCAACTCAGTCACATCCTGGTCTGTGAACAGGGTTAGAACCTGAATCCTCATCCACCTCATCCACAGTTAGGAAGCTAACTAGCCATGTAGCATGAAGCTAACGTCCTCAATCCCAACAACGAGGAGGACTGTTTGAACCGGAGTGAACGGGACACCTGGATGTGGACTCAGGCAGCTAGCACTCTCTTAGCAAGCTAACACAGGAACAGGCAGGAAGTGAGAGCAGTGTTTGAACCACCGATCCCTGCAGACTGACTGCAGCTGTAGACCTGGATGAGTTCAGGTCAGATCCGACCTGGGACTTCTGTCTCTCGCTCCCTCAGTTCCTGTCATGTTTCTATGGTAACTCATTAATTAAGACAAAAAACATCTTTAGGCGTCAAACGATTCTGGTTCCATTAATGTCGGTGAGACTCCCCAGTACGTTTCTGTACCACTTTATCTGCAGACCTCAAACACATCACGCAGCAGGTTGAGTCGGACTCACCTGTGTTCCCAGGGCCTGGATGTCGTGTTCGAAGGTGGTGTGCATCCTCTGCAGCGTCTCCACCGTGTTCTGGTCTCGGCCGACCTCCTCCGGCAGCTTCTTCTGTTTGTCCACGATGCGTCCCAGGATCTCCTTGGCGTCGTGGTAGAACTTGTGCAGCTCGAAGGAGGCAGCGAGGATCTGTGTCCTGGTGTCGATGAGCTCCAGCAGGTCGGCCCAGGCCTCGTTCAGCCCGTCCTTCCACTCCGCCACTGTCGCCGCGTCGCCGTGCCCCGTGTTGATCAGCTCGTCTGCCAGACGGTTAACGGAGTCCACACGCTCCTGACCGATGTTTCCTGTATCCCGGGCAAACTCCCGGAAACGCTCCTGCAACATCTGAGCGCAGAGGTCAAAGGTCAGAGGTCAGAAAACACAGGACACAGGCCAGAGGTCAGAGGAGCAGTAGTTGTAGTAACGTACAGTCACATGTTCGTAGTCCTGTCCCAGCTCGTGTGAACCGGCCACCACCTCACGCTCAGCGATCCACTGCTCGAGGTCATCGACCTCTCGGTTCAGCTGGAAGAGGCGGAGCCTCTCGTCCAGTTTCCCCCGCCTCTCTTCTGATAGGTCCTTCAGGCCAGCATACAACTTATCCACCTGAGACTGACGCATGCTGATACGCTCACTGACGACACACACACACACACACACACACACACACACACACACACACCCACACACACACGCACGCACACAGTTACTGGGGCAGAAACTAGACTGTACTTCCAGTTGCTCTCACACCTGAGTTTAAAGGCTAAGCGTTGATGAGTCTAATTAGCCAATCACAATCAGCTTTGTCCATTTCTGTCCAGACTGCGTTAGTAGCACCTGCTGAGACACTGGTTGCTATGGTGACTGTAACCCTAAAGGATGAAACTTTTCATTGAATATCAAATCAGAACGAAAACTACAAAAAAAGTCCTGTTGAGAAACTACAGGCGTCGCAGGATTCAATAAAGAGCTTGATATCTTATATCTGATGTTCTGTACTCCACAGGTATCACAGTGAGACACATTTCTCTATGTTTTTATTCACAAATTAACTATGAAGGTGGGAAATTGTGGGATTTAAAAGAGGTTTTCAGGGATGGCAGCGTGATGTCATCCACTCTGGCTCTGAACATTCTGTGCAATACATACCCATTATAAAATCTGACACTGTCTAAAAATGACACAAGATGTAAAGTTTTGTGAAAACCATGATAGATGTCATGATCCAGATTTAACCCAAAAGAGTCTAAAGTTCCAACCATGTTTCTGCATTGAAGTATGACACAGTAGTAGACTGTAGGATCTAGTTACGCACTGAAGTTTTTACAGAAGATGAACAAGAAGGAGGAGTATGCAGGATTATATGTGACATAACAATAATATGGACTGATGTAGGCCACGCCCCCTGTTACATCACACGCAGCGTGCGTACCTCTCAGGGTGTCCGTCAGCCACCAGGCCTCTGCTGGTCTTGGACAGCTGGTGGACGGCCTCGGCGTAGTCTTCCACCGCCTGCTCCACGATCTGGTGCTTCTTCTGCATGGTGACGGCGCTCTGCTCGTCCTGAACACACACACATCATCAAACATCTGCTGCTCTCTGGACTAACACTGAGTCTAGTTCTAGTCCTGACCCCCCACCTTGGCCTTCTCCTCTGACATCATGTACAGCTCCTGCTCGCTCATCCAGGCCTCGGCCTCCGCGGCGTCGAAGTAGTACTGCTGGGCTTTGTGGGCCTCCTCCAGCCGGGCGTGGCGGCGCTCCCCCTCCTCCATCAGCTGCCGCCACAGCTCCTGCAGGTCGGCCAGACGCTGACGGATCACGTCGGCGTTGGAGGACTCATCCTGTAGGAGGCTCTGACTGCGCTCCAGGATGTCGTCGATACGAGGCTGATGGCCCTGGATCTCCTTCTGCAGAGTCTGAGGAGGGAGGAGGACCAGTTCAGACCAGAACCGACCAGTTCAGACCAGAACCGACCAGTTCAGACCAGTTCTAACCTGATCTGACCAGCTGTGTGCATGATCCTGCTCAGACCCACCTTCACCAAACATACAGACCCCAAGGTCCACAATCCACAGACATCAACACAAGTTCTCACATCACTCACATTGTTCTGGATCGGTTCTCAGGAGCAATGATGTTTAGTCTGATCTGAGATCAAACCGTCTGTTTACAGCCGACCTTGCTCTGCAGACTCACCTGGTTCTTCTTGATGAGCAGCTGGACCGTCTGCAGGTTGTGTCCGTGGTCAGTGGACGTGGCCACAGGCATCCTCTCCTGGACCCACAGCTGGAAGACAACAGATCACACACTGAGCTCCTGGTGGAGGTGCTGCAGAGACCACCTGGCAGAGACAGCAGTCTCAGTCCAGGTCAGTCTTAGTCTTTGAGTCAGTCAGTCTGGTTCAGTCTCAGAACACGTCTCACTTACGATCTCGTCCTCCACGTCTCGGTTGAACTGGTGAACTTCTCTTGACGCCACCAGGAAGTTCCTGCGGCGTCGAAGCGGGTCCAGCAGCTCCTGGAACTTCCTCTCCACCAGCTGTCTCCGCCCGTCCACCTCGTCCGTGTCCTTCACCTCCTGACCCAGAGCCTTCACCTGGCTCTGCAGCTCCACCACCTCCCTCTGACGCACCTCCACCTGGTTCTCCAGCATCTGCGGGGGGGTCAGAGTCAGACTGGTTGTAACACTAAGACCAGGACTGACACTCTTTGCGATACAGTGAAGACCTGGTTGTTGGTACCTGTTGCTTCTTGAGCAGGATGTTGACGGAGGTCAGGTCTTTGCCGTAGTCGTCCGACTGGATCTGACCCTCGAGGCCGACGAGCCACTTGTCGAGGTCGGCGCAGCTCTGAGTGAAGAGCTCCGCCTTGTTGGCATCGAACAGACACTGAGCCTTGGTCTGCGTCGTGGACTCTAGCTCCTCCCACATGGCGTGGAGCGCCGACAGCTTCTCCTTCACCACTGCCTCCGTCTCCGGCTTCTCTGACACCAGCAGCATGCCGTCCTACAAACAGAGGTCAAAGGTCAGTGGCGCGGTGCTGGGAGGTTCGAACAGTGCCAATGCTACGTGTCTGATCAGTGATGTCATATCCTGTCCGTCCAGGTGGGGTCCAACTTACAACCTGGTCTACATGGACCCTTAGAAGACCCCCTGGTTAAGACCTGGTCTGATCAGGATTGTTAATTATTAGCTCAGTGATCTGATCCCTGTAAATCAATGATATGATAACTGATCACGTCATTGATCATTGAAACCTGGTCACAGCAGGAAGAATCAGTCTGAATCAATCCACATTAAATGTAAATAGATCTCTGTTTGTTTCTGTTAAAGGGGGTCTACAGACCGTGGACTGGACCGCCCCCCTCACCTTCTGGATCTTGTCCAGCCACTCTTTGTTGGACTGCAGCTCGGCCATGAAGGCCTGGTGCTTCAGCCACTTGCTGTGCAGGTTCCTGGCCTCGTCGTAGGTCATGTCCTGAGCTGTGAGCATCTTCTCGTTGATCCACAGAGACAGCTGCACACAAACACACACCTTGGTCAGATCTACAGGGTCAGGACGTCAGGACGTCAGCATATGCCTCTAAACCATCTGAGGACTCAGACCCACCTCCTGACAGTCCTGCAGGAACTTCTGCAGGTCTCTGTTGTCCTTCAGTCTCATCAGCAGCTCCACCGCAGCCTCCCTGTTCTTCTTATGTCTGAAACACAGAGACCGAGGTTGGACCAGGACTCATCAGAGACCTGGACTCTGACTCATACCTATAGGTTCACCTGTGACTAGAACACTTAAACATTTTCATTTAAAGAAAACAGAAAGAATCCACAGGGCGTGACTGATGGTAACCATGGGAACCACGGCCCCCCCAAACAAACAAGCACCAAACAGACTTGTGAGGTTGTGTTCAAAGCTGCTCAGACGTTCTAACGTGATGTCTACCTGTCGTCGATGGAGGACACTCTCTCCTGGATACGTTCGGCGTTGATGTTCCCGTCGCTGGCAAGCCGCCTGCCAGCCTCCACCACGCTGTTGATCTTGTCCTCGTTGGCGTCCATTGTAGTCATGAAGTCCTCCTGTTTTTTAATAGCGGCCTCGGCAGCCTCCAGAGTTGTGGGCATCTCGGTGTGAGCCAGGACGTACTCCTGTGGTGGGGGGGCACACGGTTCAGCACTGATACAGGTTTACTGCAGGTACATTAACGTATACAATAAAAATAATCAATAATCATCCTCTGAGGACAACGACCATCTACTATAACACAGGAAGTGTCTCCAGTAGCGGAGAGGTCATGACCTAGGTGTTGAAGAGACTGCAGGGGGGGGTCTCTGGACTTTACCTGGTTGTTGAGGAAGGCCTCAGCCTGCTTGGTGTCCCGGAGGAACAGCTGGTAGGCGTGGGACTGGGACAGCAGGTTCTGCCGGTTCTCCCACATCTTGTGCAGCTCGTTCCAGCCGGTGTCGAGCGCCTGCAGCCGCTGTCGCAGGAACATGTACTGAGCGTCCATCTGACCCTGCGTCACCATCTCCCCCATGTCCCGCATCTTCTGGTAGTCCTCCTCGTAGTTCTGGATCTCGTTCTTGATGCCTTCGTGCTGAGCCATCAGCTTCTCAGCCTCGGCCAGCGTGTTGGGCATGTCCTCAGAGGCGATGGCAGTTTGGGTGCGGGACAGCCAGGACTGGAAGTCATCCAACTCACGCAGGAACTGCTGCAGCTTCCTGGCCTCGCCCAGAGACTCCTCACGGTTCTTCAGAGTGTTCTTCATTTCCTCCCAGACGGCTGTGATCTCAGCCAGACGGCCCGTGATGGCCTTTGCCTGGTCGGGGTGCTCCTCCGCCAGCCGCTGGGCCTCGCTCCGCAGGTCACCCAACTTGTCCTCGATGGCGGCCAGGTCGCGCTCCATCCCAGTCAGTTTACGCTGCAGGGCCATGACGCCGGTGAGGTCGTTGCCCAGCTCCTGGGTGGACTCGATGACTTTGGTCTTCTCTTTGATCCAGGACTTGGTCTCGTTGCAGTCTAGATGGTAGTTCTGCACACCCAGAGCCGAGTTCAGGGACTCCTTCTTCTGGTCCACCAGGTCCCGGAACTGGCTCCACCTGGTGTCAGAGGAGAAGATGGTCAGTGTGTGAAGGTGCAGTCACACTGACACCCATTCAGGTGTGTACACCTCTCGTACCTGTTGTTGAGTTTGTCCTGCTGGGTCTTGATGTCTTTCTCGCTTGGGTGTCCATTGTGGATCAGCTGCCGGGCGATCTGGTTCACCACCGCGACACGAGACGCCTGGTTGTTCATCTCCGGCTCCAGACTCTCAAACCTGCCGAGGACAAAGTCCACCTGAGCACAGTGCTGGATGAAGGCGACAATCACAAACACCTGTACAGACAACCGAGATCCTACCTGTGCTGGATGACCTCCAGGTCCTCCAGTTTCTCGGGGATCTCCATGCTGTTCAGCCACAGCTCCTTCTCGTCGATCCACACCTCGCAAGCGTCCGCCTCACTGAACATCTTGTAGAGTGCCAGAGCGTCCTGCAGCGCCTGCTTCCTCAGCTTCGTTAGCTCGGACACCTCCTTGTAGCGCTCCTCAATGCCGGCCAGCCGACCGCGCACCTCCTCTGACTCCACCTCCTCTTTGGGCAGAGAGGCGGCCTGCTCGTGGAGGGAGTCAATGACCGGCCGGTAGCTGGCCACCTCTGCCGCTGCATCCTTGTGTTTCCTGACCAGCGCCTGGGTGGAGAATTCGTCATGGCCCGTCTCGCCACTGGAGACGATGCGCAGGGCGTCCAACGTCCAGGCATCAACATCATCGGCGTCGGCCTGGAACTGGTGCAGGGCCAGGGCTTCCTCCAGCCTCCTCTTCCTCACGGCAGCCAGCTGCTCCAGCGCTGCCCACTGAGCCTGCAGGTCCTCGATACGCTCCTGGATTTTAGCGGCGGCAAAGTGACCGGCCTGAACCATAGCCTGGCCCTCATCAATGGTGTGCTGGAGGTGTCCGGCGCGCCCGCTCATCTCGTCCTCCAGGGCACGCTGCTGGCTGAGGAGGCGCAGCGCCCCCGTCAGGTCCTTGCCGTGCTCCAGGGAGGACAGGATCTGCTCCTTCTCCCGGATCCAGCCCTCCTCCTCCGCCATCTCCCAGAAGAACTTCCAGAGACGGCGAGATTCTTCTAGACGGGCGCGACGCTCGGCAGCCAGCTGGGTCAGCTCCTGGTAGCAGAACTCCAGGTGGGCCACTCGGTCCTGGATCACCTGAGGGTCGCAGGGTTTGTAACCTAGAGAGGAAGACCAGAATCAGACCAGTTTTCATTTTTAAGGTTGAAATTATCTTAAACAGAATTTTTTACAGACATGGTGAAGACGAAAAACTCACCACTGTCGTTGACAGAGTACTTGTTGGCGTTGGTGGTGACCGCCTTCACCCGGTCAGCCTGAATGGCAATGTCGGCCTCCACCAGGGCGTGTTTCTGCAGCAGGTCCTCCACACCCAGCAGGTGCTTCCCGTAATCCTGAGACAGCAGCAGCATCTGGAAACCAGACAAAGTGACAGTTAGGACGGCGTGATTGGAAATCATTAAATTCAGATTCAGATGTGTCCGTGGCGTACCTTCATCTCGTCCATCCAGTCCATGATGTAGAGCATCTCCTGAAAGACTCTCTGCAGGCCCAGGTTCATCTCCAGCCTCAGTCTGCGTGCCTTCAGCAGCTCTAGCAGGTACTCCCACAGCCGGATCACATTGTCCTTCCTGGCCGTGATGCGTTTGATGTCATGGTAGTGCTCCACCTCTAGCTCCTTCGCCACAGCGACTACGGCCTGGACGCGCTCCTCGTACGCTGCAATGTCTGTCTCAATGGCCTCGTGCTTCTTGGTCGCCGCCTCAACGGCCTGGAGGTCAAAGCCAAAGTTGTCCTGGAGAGAGAGAGTCCATCAGAGGCACCACAGAGGACCACTGAATCATGAATCCTGAATCCTAAACCCTGAATCCTGAACCCTGAATCCTAAACCCTGAATCCTGAACCTTTAACCCTGAATCCTGAACCCTGAATCCTAAACCCTGAATCCGTAACCCTGAATCCTAAACCCTGAATCCTAAACCCTGAATCCTTAACCCTGAATCTTTAACCCTGAATCCTAAACCCTGAATCCTAAACCCTGAATCCTTAACCCTGAATCCTAAACCCTGAATCCTAAACCTTGAATCCTTAACCCTGAATCCTAAACCCTGAATCCTGAATCCTTAACCCTGAATCTTAAACCCTGAACCCTTAATTTTGAGTTCTAAACCCTGACTCCTGGCAGCTGGAGAAAAACACCTGGCGGCTGCTGCTGACTGAGTCCTCTCTTACCTGTGACACCAGCCTCTGGTTCTCGCTGAGCCAGGTCTCTCTCATGGCAGCCTTGCGGTCGAAGCGCCGGGCCAGCTGTTCCAGTTTCTCCTGACGAATCAGCTCTGTCCTCAGAGCCAGCTCCCTCTCATGCTCTGCCTTCTCCAGCCGCTCCCAGGCCTGACAGGACCAGATCAACACAGTTAACAAGACCAAGTCCTGGAGCCAGACTGTGAAGTCCAGCCCCCCCTAAGTCTGGGATCTGGTGAGGTCTGGAGTGTATTAGTGTAGGTCTAAGACTCAGTGCAGATGTGGATCAGGATCTGTGGTCTGGACTGTCAGAACCAGATCTGGATCAGGATCCAGATAAAGTTTATTTCCAAAATCAAACTCATTGAACTGGTGAAGGAAACAGTTTCAGATATTAAATCTGAGTTTGATCATTTAATTAATGAGCCGTTCAGTTTCTTTATAAATGAACTTTAATTAATGAATGAACTTTATCAGGACCAGGACCAGGACTAGAACCAGGACCAGAACTAGAACCAGGACCAGAACCAGGACCAGGACTAGAACCAGAACCAGGACCAGAACCAGAACCAGAACCAGAACCAGGACCAGGACTAGAACCAGAACCATGACCAGAACCAGAACCAGAACCAGAACCAGAACCAGAACTAGAACCAGGACCAGAACCAGGACCAGGACTAGAACCAGAACCAGAACCAGAACCAGGACCAGAACCAGCACCAGAACTAGAACCAGAACCAGAACCAGAACCAGGACCAGGACTAGAACCAGAACCATGACCAGAACCAGAACCAGAACCAGAACCAGAACCAGAACTAGAACCAGGACCAGAACCAGAACCAGGACCAGAACCAGAACCAGAACCAGAACTAGAACCAGGACCAGAACCAGGACCAGGACTAGAACCAGAACCAGAACCAGAACCAGAACCAGAACTAGAACCAGGACCAGAACCAGGACCAGGACTAGAACCAGAACCAGAACCGGAACCAGGACCAGAACCAGAACCAGAACCAGAACCAGAACCAGAACCAGGACCAGGACTAGAACCAAAACCATGACCAGAACCAGAACCAGGACCAGGACCAGAACCAGAACCAGAACCAGAACCAGGACCAGAACCAGGACCAGGACTAGAACCAGAACCAGAACCAGGACCAGGACCAGAACCAGGACCAGAACTAGAACCAGAACCAGAACCAGGACCAGAACTAGAACCAGGACCAGGACCAGAACTAGAACCAGAACTAGAACAAGGACCAGAACCAGAACCAGAACTAAAACCAGGACCAGGACTAGAACCAGAACCAGGACCAGGACCAGAACCAGAACCAGGACCAGGACTAGAACCAGGACCAGAACTAGAACCATGACCAGGACTAGAACCAGAACTAGAACCAGAACCAGGAGCAGCTCTGACCTTGTTGATGTCTGAGATGAGTTTTCCCTCTCGGGGCATGTAGACCTTCTGATTATTGGCTCTCATCTTACTCTGGATGGTGAAGAGAAGAACCTCCAGGTTCCCTTTCTCTGTGAACCTGAGGAGAGAGAGAGGAGGTGAGAGGAGGAGGAGATAGGAGAGAGGAGGGAGAGGAAGAGGATAGAAAGGAGGTGAGAGGAGGAGGGGGAGGAGAAGGAGGAGGGAGAGGAAGAGGAGAGAGAGGAGGGGAGAGGAGGAGGGGGAGGAGAAGGAGAGAGGAGAGAGAGGAGAGAGGAAGAGGAGGGGGAGAGAGAGGAGAGGGGAGGTGAGAGGAGGAGGGGGAGGAGAGGGAGAGAGGCGAGAGAGGAGGAGGAGAGAGAGGAGAAGGAGGAGGGAGAGGAAGAGGAGAGAGAGGAGGTGAGAGGAGGAGGGGGCGGAGGAGGAGAGAGAGGAGACAGAGGAGGAGATAGAGGAGAGATGAGGTGAGAGGAGGAGGAGAGAGGAGGAGGAGAGAGAAGGAGAAAGGAAGTGAGAAGAGAGGAGGCGGGGGAGGAGAGGGAGAGAGAGGAGAGAGGAAGAGGTGAAGAGGAGGTGTAGAGGAGGTGAAGAGGAGGTGAAGAGAAGGAGGAGGTGCTGACTTTGGTGGTTTCTCCACGGTGCGGTACGTGTTGAAGGCCTGCAGCTGCTGCTGGACTCCCACCAGAGAGTTGGCGAACTTCCTGTTGTTGAGGATGATGATGGTCTGTTCGATCCACTCCAGCAGGTCTGAGGCCAGAGACTCATACTTCTCTATCATCTTCTCTGTCTCGATGGCGTTGTCCAGCACCTGGACACAGACACACACCTGCTGTCACCTCGTCCCCCGCCCCCCCCCCCAAGGATGTGGACTCTGGTCTCACTGACCTTCCCGATGCGTTTGCCCTCCACCTTCAGAGCCTTCATCTTGGAGAAGTAGTGGTAGTAGGTGACGACGTAGGTGATGACAGACTTCTCATCAGGATGGTCCACGCTGATATCTGAGACACACGGTGAGACACAAACAGGAGAGATACACAGAGACACACAGGTGAGACACAAAAGGCGAGCGATACACAGAGACACACAGGTGAGACACAAACAGGAGAGATACACAGAGACACACAGGTGAGACACACACAGGAGCGATACACAGAGACACACAGGTGAGACACAAACAGGAGCGATACACAGAGACACACAGGTGAGACACACACAGGAGCGATACACAGAGACACACAGGTGAGACACAAACAGGAGAGATACACAGAGACACACAGTTGAGACACAAACAGGAGAGACACACACAGGAGAGATACAAACAGGAGAGACACACACAGGAGAGACGCACACAGGAGAGACACACACAGGAGAGACACACAGAGACACACAGGAGAGACAGAGACACAAACAGGAGAGACACACACAGGAGAGATGCACACAGGAGAGACACACAGGTGAGACACAAACAAGACACAAACAGGAGAGACACACAGGTGAGACACAAACAGGAGAGACACACACAGGTGAGACACAAACAGGATCAGGATCTCACCCTCTGGGTCCAGCAGCTTGGTGAGGCCCAGGTGCTGCTCGGCCAGGTTGAAGGCGTTCTGCAGGTTGTAGTGAGCGTTGGATTTCTTCAGCTTGTCGAAGTCGATCAGATCAGGCCTGAAGACACACAACAACAACTTAATACACACACACACACACACACACACACACACACACACACACACACACACAGAACAGGAAGTGGTCACCTGTGTTTGTGGATGAGGGCGTTGAAGGCCATCCCGTCTCTCCAGCTGGTGGTGAAGTTGTGGATGTTGACGTTGGGATACCTGGAGAAAAACACCTGATTAACATCTGTCACCATGACGACGGCAGGAGACGCTTCATTAGGTCCACAGGTGCTCACCTGGCTGCTGCTCATACAGACACTGAGTGTGTGTGTGTGTGTGTGTGTGTGTGTGTGTGTGTGTGTGTGTGTGTGTGTGTGTACCCGGCCGTCTTCATCTGACACCACAGCAGCAGAGCGTCTTTAGCTGATCTCTTCTCTTTGTTGTCTTCAGTCTCCACACTGATGTCCTGGATCTGAAACACACACATCACTGTCACACCTCCACCTACAGTCACACCTCCACCTGTCTGATTTGATCTGAATTATTCACCCCAGCATTCCCATCATGCTTTGGGTGATGTAAACAGAAAGTACAAAGTTTCCATGGAGACAGGTCCATTTTTTAACCTGTATTCCTAATTTTCTCCATGAGCTATTAGCAGCTCCTGCTCACTGTGTAACCATGGCAATAGACAACAATCACTGGCCCTCAGTTCAGTCTGTCAGGAAACAGTGACCTGAACTAACCGCAGATCTGATTGGACGGCTTGAGCTGGACGGTTTGTTTAAGACGTTCACCCGCTCTGTTTGAGCTCTGCGGGGGAAATCCCAGAGGTCAAAGGTCGAACCAGGACAGTGTCGTGTCTCCTGGTCTGGGTTTCCATGACGATGGTGTCAGTAAAACATGAACCAGCCTGGACTTTCACCTGAGCGGGTAAATAAGTGACATGGAGGAGGTGGACCAATCAGAGAGGCGTACAGGGGGCGGGGCTCTGTTTGCTCTGCAGCACCTGTTACACCTGCTGAGGGTAAAAACCCTGACTGCTACAACTTCCATGATGCCACAGTACTTCATGATGTCACCACACTCTGTCCTCTGTGTTTTTGTCTTTATTTGACCCGTCCTCACAGACACATGTCACAACCTCCAGTATGATGTCATCAAACAGGGCAGAGACAGGAGAGTGTGGCAAGGAAGCAGTAAGAGTTCTGCTCTGCTGTCTCAGACCTGGACTGGGACAGAACCCTATAAAGGACCAGTAGTAGGTGTTGTGCTAAGCTAGGCTAACAGGACCAGCTGTCATCTCCCAGATAAAAGGAGAGCATGTGACCAGGAACCTTAACATCCTCTGTCAGGAGACGTGGACTGGAGACTCAGCAGGGTTCTGGTCTCGAGAGTCAGACCTGGACTGGGTTCTCTAACATCTTCTTAATGTGGACAGGTGCAGTCAGAGGTTTCTGTTACCTGGAAGCGGAGGATGATGGTCCAGATGAGGCCCAGCGTCAGTCGGTGGTTTCCGTCCACGATGTCGTGAGACCCCATGTTCTCCAGGTGAACCCGCTGCTCCTTCAGGAACTGCAGAGCTTTGTCCACGTTCTCCAGACAGTGGATTCGCATCCGGCCTTTGGTGGGCTTCGGCTGCAGAGACAAGACACGAGGGACAGAGTCAGAGTCAGGAGACAGTCAGGAGACAGACACAGAGAGACAGAATGAGACGGAGACAGTCAGGAGACAGAGACAGAGAGACAGAGAGAGAGACACAGAGAGAGATGGAGTCAGAGACAGAGACAGAGAGAGAGAGACAGAGAGAGAGAGACAGAGACAGTCAGGAGTCAGAGACAGAGACAGAGAGAGAGACAGAGACAGTCAGGAGTCAGAGACAGAGACAGAGAGAGAGACAGAGACAGAGAGAGAGACAGAGACAGTCAGGAGTCAGAGACAGAGAGAGACAGGAGACAGGAGACAGAGACAGTGGTGTTGCACATTGTTTTGCTTTGTTTTGTCTGTTATGATATTTTTTTAATATATTTTTATTGTAAGTATTTTATTGTGAAAACTCTTAATAGTTTTTGTGTCTCACTGCAGCAGCTGCTTTGTTTATATTTTATATTGTTTCTTCTTCTATGTTTGTTGTTATGAACCAGAAGAAATTCCTCCTGGTTCTGGTTCTGGTTCTGGTTCTGGTTCTGGGGTGGCTGCAGTTCCTCTAACGTCCACCAGGCGATGCTGTGACCTGTGACCAAACATCAGTTCACTGTTGAGACAGGTTTCTGTGGAGCCACGTCACCTGACTGCCACCTGGTGATGTCATAACATCATGTAAATGTAACAGTCTGCAGCTGGAGTTTGGTCCAGATGTGCAGCATCAAAGAGAGAACTCCTTATCTGAGCGATAAGAGAAGAAGTGTCGACACTGAGGTTCTTCTTCACGTCTTATAACCAGCTTATTAACCATTAATGGCTCATCACAGCTGATGACCCTTCACACCTGCAGTCGCTCACTCAGAGAACATCTGGATGCTGGACTGGACTTTAAATCAAGTATCAACGTCCAGACTGAAACATGAAGCTGCAGTTCCTCTAACGACCACTAGAGTCTGGCTCCAACAGTGAGTCAGTCCCCATAGACTCCCATGTTAAAATGTCCAACTTTACAGCAGAAATAAACATGTTTACAGCCTGGTACAAAAACTGTTTTGGTCTCTAGAGATAATTTCCTCCTTCATGACACCTGTTTATATAACTCACCTGTTTACTTTTTATTACGGACTGAAGTTATGGAGAATTGAGGGGCGTGGCCTCTTTGAGTGACAGGTGGGTGCAACAAACTGACATTCACCGAAGTCTCAGCTCCACCCACGCCCCTCCTCTTCGACCATGTTTGGATTAGCTGGGTGTTAGGGGCGGAGTCAGACACTGCCAAGATGGCGACAGTGGAGCAGCTCACTCTGAGCTTCAGAAACCTGTGGGTGACGTCACAGAAGCGGTGTCCATCTTTATTTACAGTCTGTGGTTTAAAGACATGACATCACTGACGAATCCACAGACACAGGAAGTGTTAAACTGTCATCATAGTTTTTGTTGTGAACTCGTCTCATTTAACTTCCTCTCACTTCAGTCTGAGGGCAGACTTTCACAATAAAAGTCTCATTAACTTGAAGGACCACAGGACATCAGCTGGATCAGAGCCAGGACTCAGATACCTTATCTGGACTGGCCTGGTCTGGACCCAGGATCAAGGCCAATAACTCCACCAGCTCCAGAGGCGCTCACAGAAACTCCAACAAGTTTTATGTCGTGAGAGGGAAAACAGGAAGTAGGACACACCTGGTCCAACTCTCACACGACAACAACCCCCCAACCCCCCGACAGATCTCTGCTGACCCACTGTTTATCTGAGCGTCTCTGTTCACAGTCTCATCACTGATGTGTGCACAGACTACATTACCCAGCAGCCTCTTACTCGTGTGTATTTATACATTATCGTACGTGTGTGTATCACAGCCTCCTCACAGCTGTGTGTGTAGTGTGTGTAGTGTATTGTTGTGTGTGTAGTTGTGTGTGACTCACCAGTCTCTCTCCTGACAGAACCTCCAGCAGTTTGATCAACATGCGTCCGTCCCTCAGGTCCATGTAGAGGTCTGTGATCCTGCAGGACACTCTGGACAGGTGAGAGTTCACCCACTTAGTGAAGGTCTTCTTCTGCACCGCCTCCCGCTCATCTGCACACACACACACACACACACACACACACACACACACACACACACAGATTAGTAAAGACGCATTCTTTGAGAGTTATTCTGGTGTTTGACCTTTAACCCAAAGGAAACAGGAAGTGAGGCGTAAATGAATTCAGCAGCAGGGAGGGTGTTTCCTTCATCCAGCAGAGAGCCAATCAGCAGCCGGCCCTCACAGACCGACGTCACCTGAACAAACACTTCACCCTCTACAACGATTAAATTACTGCAGCGGTGTGTGTCCTGATGAATGATTCAGAACCGAACCGGTCAGACCAGGACCGGGACCAGGACTGACAGTCTGGTCTCTCACATCATTAACCTGCAGGCCAGACTCCGCCCACTGAAGGAGGACATATTGATTACTGATTGATCAGACTCTGCACATCCTGCTGCAGCGCATCTCACTGTGACCTCACAGGAAGTGTTACAAAATAAAAGTTTTTCCTCTCTGTCAGTGAAGCTCCATCCAAGACCTGAACAAACTTCAAACCAGGTCTGGACCAGGTTCAGGTCCAGGACCAGGTTCAGGTCCAGGTCACACCTGAGGAAGAAAAAGGATTCAGAGCCCCCCCCGATGATCCTGTGACCCTCAGACTGGTCAAGGGATCTGCTGCGAGGTCTCACCCCTCAGATTGGAAACCACTGAGTTCAATGACGATCACGTCATCATCATCATCATCATCATGCGACTGGACCGTCAGTATCACTGGCCCCGCCCCCCCCTCCCCCCCTGTCTTCTTACCTTGCAGCTGTTTGAATCGACCCTCCAGCTGGTTGTAGTTGACCTGCAGGTGAGCTGGGTCGGCCGACGCCCACTCCACCTCCATCATTAATATTCACAGCTAATACACACAGATCCAGACCAAATCCAGACCAGATCAGACCACCAGAGTCCGACACCTGATGAACAAACGTGGTGCAGCAGATCCAGGTCGTGGTCTCAGTCCAGAACTGAAGGAATCCTCCTCAGAGTCGTCTCAGGTTCACCTGCTCGTCACCTGACATCATGTCGACAGCAGCCCAACACAAACCTTCTCTGTGTCAGAACCAGAATCCAAACTGATTCTTAAAAACACAACCATAAACAAAGTCCAGACGGACTGAGTCACAGAGACTCGGACTGATTCAGACCTGAGGAAGAAGAAGAAGAAGAAAAGAATCTGAAGCTCAAATCCACAAAAAGCCTTTAAATCCAGCAACTGAGACACGAATGTCCTCGTGTCGTCAGGACGTGAAAGAAAAGAGTCCAGAGGTCAGAGCGCCAAGCGCCGAGCGCAGCGTCTGTGTGTGTGTGTGTGTGTTTCCGGCCCTGCCCAACACTTGAAGCAAGGCATCAGCAGCTACACGCTGCTCATTCTTCTGCTGCTCAGTTTTCCTGTTCCCTCCAGAAACACACACACACACACACACACACACACACACAGAGACACACACACACACACACAGACACACACACACACACACACACACACACACACAGACACACACACACACACACACACACACACACAAACACACACACACACACACACACACAGACACACACACAGACAAACCCCGCCTACTGCAAACACAGGGGGTGGAAGAGGAGGAACCCCCCCCCCCCTCAATAACACACTGTTAAAAATTAAACTCCAGGTTTAATAGTTGAGTGAGAACAGGACACATGTTCTTCTGCCCTGAGCTTCACCTCTCAGACTACAACCACAACCAGAACCACAACCAGAGAACCACAACCAGAACCACAACCAGAACCACAACCAGAGAACCACAACCAAAACCACAACCAGAGAACCACAACACCACAACCAGAGAACCACAACCAGAATCACAACCACAAGAAGAACCAGAATCACAACCAGAGAACCAGAACCACAATCAGAACCACAATCACAATCAGAACCACAATAAGAACCAGAACCAGAATCACAATGTCTGGATGTTTCATGATCTACAATACTACTGTATCTTTTTTTGTCTTCCAATAACCCTACTTGTTGTTACTGTTGTTTATTGATTTTATTATTTCACATTGTTAACATCACCCTGCCAAAGGGACTGCAGATGGAAATTAGCCGCTTGGCTCTAATCTGGCTTATTTACATGTATATGTTCATTAATATGCACTGTCCCTTGTTTTTAAATAAATAAACTCCAAACTCCAATAAGAATCAGAACCACAACCAGAGAACCACAACCAAAACCAGAGCCAGAGAACCAGAACCACAATAAGAACCAGAACAAGAATCACAAAAAGAATCAGAATCAGAACCAGAACCAAAACCAGAGCCAGAGAACCAGAACCACAATCAGAACCAGAACCAGAGCTAGAATCACAGTAAGAATCACAACCAGAGAACCAGAAGCAGAACCAGAACCAGATGATCCTGATCCAGTTGATCCTCAGGGGGTGTGGTGGAGTTTCTCCTCAGCAGACAACAGGAAGTAGATTATAAACATGAGGATCAAATATAAACATAATGTCCTTATGATTATAAATAAAAACATAAGGAGAGAGTTTACAGTTGCACCTGTGGTTAGTAGTGGTTAGTAGTAGTCAGTAGTAGTTAGTAGTAGTCGTCAGTAGTAGTCAGTAGTAGTTAGTAGTTAGTAGTCAGTAGTAGTTAGTAGTAGTCAGTAGTAGTTAGTAGTGGTCAGTAGTAGTCAGTAGTAGTTAGTAGTAGTCAGTAGTAGTTAGTAGTAGTCGTCAGTAGTAGTCAGTAGTAGTTAGTAGTTAGTAGTAGTCAGAAGTAGTTAGTAGTCAGTAGTAGTCAGTAGTAGTCAGTAGTAGTTAGTAGTGGTCAGTAGTAGTCAGTAATAGTTAGTAGTAGTCAGTAGTAGTTAGTAGTAGTCAGTAGTAGTTAGTAGTAGTCGTCAGTAGTAGTTAGTAGTAGTCAGTAGTAGTTAGTAGTAGTCGTCAGTAGTAGTCAGTAGTAGTCAGTAGTAGTTAGTAGTTAGTAGTAGTCAGTAGTAGTCAGTAGTAGTCAGTAGTAGTTAGTAGTTAGTAGTAGTCAGTAGTAGTCAGTAGTAGTTAGTAGTAGTCAGTAGTAGTTAGTATGACTGCCCTCCCTCCTTGGTGGGGGTCACCTGTAGACACGACTTCATCTCCTCTCAGTGTTTACGTTTGTCTTCTGATGACGTCATCTCTCTGAGAGACAGCTGATCAGTATTCCTATTATTTATTTATTGATACATGACATCATCATGTGACCTATGGAGGAAACTTCTGATTGGTCACACTGATTTAAACGTGTTTCTGTTTGACTGGGAAACAACAGTCAGATATTTTTTACAGTGTAGAGTGTGTGTGCTGAGGAGAGGGGTTTCACCCATCAGCCAATGGCCTTGCAGCTTGACAATGATGTCATCAGGGGTGTGAAGGGGAGGGGGGTGTTTCCCTCAATTGTTCCTTCACATTCCTGAGTGATGGAGAGGAAATAAGAAACAAACATCCTGCACACACACACATACACACACACAGTGACATCATAGATCCTCAGGCCCCTGACCTTCCTAAACCTGGTTCTACAACTCTTTGACCAGACAAATGTCCTCACACACACACACACACACACACACACACACACACACACACACACACGTGTGTACGTTAGTAAACAACAACTACCCTGAACAGACTCCTAACCACTCTGTAACAACCTAGTGACCACACTGAACCCCCTAGCAACCACACACTGAACTCCCACGTAACCACCTAGCAACTACACTGAACTCCCTAGAAACCACCTAGCAACCACCCTGAACACCCTAGCAACTCCCCAGTCAGGGGTGTTCATGTGAACACCGAAACACCTGGCAACCACCTTGAACACCTGTGCAAATGGACAGAGCAGTGTGATCAGCCGATTGGACACACTGAGGCTGTTCTGCAGGAATCGAACCAGCGAGCATCACAGTGCAGAGCGGACAGTCAGCTGATGATGAGCTGAAAACACGTAGAGACATCACATTAACCATCACTAAGTCAGCAGAGCGCCGAGCATGCTGGGAATCTGACCATGTCCAAAATACCTGCAAATATGAGGGAAACATCTTCAGACTGGACAGTCAAGCTTTTATTTTGTAATTTTGTTTTGTCCTCCTTCTCCTCCTCCAGAGGAATGCAGTAAACACAGAGTCATGTGAGGAGCTGATCAGGAGACTCAGAGTTTCCCATGTTCAGCTGCAGGTTCGCATCAATTCACACAGACGTCTCCATGGTGACCAAAGAGCAAGTCAAAGGTCACAGGTCACAGGTGCAGACTCAGGCTCATATGAATGAATGACAGTGACCTGACTGCAGTGAGGTCACATGAGGTCACAGGTTGTGTGTGTGTAGCTGCTCAGTGCCAGACGCCTCTGACAGCCCCGCCCCCTCTTTCCCTCCCCGCCCCCGATCGTTGACTGTGACGAAGACGATGATGAAGAGGAGTGAAGGTGCAGCCACACCTGGTCTGGTCCTAAACTCTTCATCAGTGTGACGCAGACTTCGATGTCTCCCATCATGCACTTGGACTGTCTTTCACTCTAATACAGAAACCTGATCATCTGTGACACCTGCAGAACCTAAGTTCTCAGAGGAACCCGGGTTCTTCTGAGTCTTTAAACACACCGTGTCACAGGGAGACAGGTCAGAACCTCCCACCTGGGCCATCAGGTGACCCATCCCTCCAATCACAGGACACGACCAGAGGCATCCTGTCTCTCAGTCTCCTGGCTGCCTTCATCAGGTTCTCACCCAGCAGGTTCATCCTCACACAAACTGATTTAAGGTGGACTTTGTTAAGGTGGAGCAGCTCTTACCTGCGAGCGCCTTGATGCGGGAGCGTTCGAAGAGCCGGGCCGAGCTGTTCTCGTTGTCCCATTCGTCATCCCAGCGGTTGTTGACCGTGTCGTTGCTGCTGTACTGCTGCTGCAGCTCCATGTGGTCGTACTCGGCGGCCACCGTCGTCATCATGACCTTTCACCTCTGACACGCCTCAATGTCAGCGGGGACACGTCCACATCAGCAGCTTCAGGCCGAGACCTGCGGGACAAAGACAGACTTACTGATTTTTATAAAGATGTATATTTGTTCAAACTCTGTAAAAGTCAAAATCTGTAACTGCTGAATGATATTATTTTAATTATTAATTATTATTATTATTAATATTATGATCATCATATCAACTTTATCATTATTATTTTATTATTATCATTATTATCATTACACAGTATATTGAATATAAAGGTTGTTTTCATGGTGTTTAAAGTTTTAGTTAAGGTATGATGACACTCTTCAGTGTGACGATGTTTCAGCTTCAGGTTGAATGAGATTCATAATTAACATGAATAATTAATATATTAAATTATGAATTGATCACCTGGAGGCTCAGACTGAGCAGAGGCTCGTTCACAGATCACATGACAAAAAGAGACGAGGTCATGCTGTTTATTAAACACTAGATCATCTGCCTCATACAGATGTTTAACATCTGTAAACAGCTGTTAAACATCTGTTTGCTCAGTATCAGAGTCAGAGTGGCGGGGAGAAGATGTCAATCACAGATTCAGTCTGAACATCTGTCCAAACATCTGGATGTTGAATGTAAACAGTGAATCAATCAGACGCTAATACAGTGTGACAGATGTTTCCAGATGTGTCCAGATGTTTCAGGTTAAACTCCTCTGTCTGTAAATAACTGACGAATCGACTCTTTAGAATTCTTTTTTCAGGACGAAGCAGATGGAACATATTTCCCAAAATTCCCAGCGAACGTCACCTGACACGAGGTCACAGGAACACGAGACACTGAGCAGAGTCACAACACACACACACACACACACACACACAGCCAGTAGATGGTGCTCTGACCTCAGACTGTTCCTGTTGAACTGAACGACCTTGAACATGTGTCACTCAGTCCTCCAGCTCTTCTTCTTCTTCTGCCTCTATCTCTGTAGCTGACACATCAGAGACCTGTCAGACTTTACTGTGTGTTTCTGAACAGTCCGCGGGGGGGGGGGGGGTGTTGGTGTAAGAACCATCCAAGGGCTCCAGACTGTGTTGCCGTGGAGCTGGGGGTGGGGCTGAAGGCTTGTCTATTTTGTGTCCTGATCAAACATGTGGATCAATCACCTTTGATTTCCTGTTTAATTCTGGAGCAGCAGCAGCTGAGGCTCATGGGTAATGGCTCCACAGACTGATCCAGTTTCAGGAAGTGGAGCTCAGGAGCCATTACAGCACTCAGAGGACGT